ACTTTCACCAAAACATCCATAATTACGAAACCCAACCAACAAACGATACAAATTACAATTCAAAGGGTCGGATAACGAATCAATATTATTTATTATATGGTAAACATAATTAAGACGGTCATATTGTGGCTCCCTCTTAACAAGCTTCTATTATTTACGACTCCTTTGACCCCTATGGCATGTTGCTTAATGTTAAAAATGGTTTGTGATGTTCCGACAGTGTGTAACCACCTCTTAGGTGATAAAACAGTAGTATATGGTTTATACCCGAAAAAAAAATTGTTATAAAAAAGTTATAAAATAAAATATATTTCTTTGAATCCTTCAAACCGAAACACAACTAATACCTACTAATAGGGAGGAAGGGATTGTTAGTAATGCTGGTTACCAGTCCCATTGCTAGCAATATATCCTGACAGGTTGACCTCCACGCGGTTCCCCCTGGAAACCATTGTGCTGAACGCTAGATGTATTCATAAGTATACGCATATGTATTCATAACTGACCTGCTTTTTCATCCCTCATTGGTGTCCCGCCAGCGTATACTGTTAGCACAGGCAGGGTTACCATTTCATTATCATCCATTAAAAACAAAAAAGAACCTACTAATACTAATAGCATCAATAGTGGGACATAAATACCCATACACACGACTTTTATACATAAAGAAATTCCAAGAAAAGTTAATCTGGAAGCAAGTAAGGTTCTCTGGAAGAGACTGCTTAGCGATAAGGCTATCTTTTGTATCACTTCTCAACAAATTTTTGTATATATATTATTTTTAAAAATATTATGAAGTGTAAATAAATAAATAATCATTTCAACGTTTTGATGTTAACCAAACTTCCTATCCTTGAAGACTTAGTCGAACCACAAAATAATAAATATATATATATATATATATATATATATATATATATATATATATATATATATATATATATATATAAACATTTATTGAATTATAAAACAAATACAAAAATGATTAGTACAGGTTGTAAAATGTTAGTAAATGATTAGTTAAACTACTTTAATTGTGACTTAAATTTTGGTTTCAAAACCAAACTACTGGATCGATTTTGATAAAATTTCTACGAGACCAGTTCATAAGTATTACAAATAAAAAAGGATTTCTCTAAATCGGTTTATAACTAACAGAGTTATGACATTATAAACAATAAAAAAAAAATACAACCGAATTAAGTCCTTTTCGAAAAATCACTAAAGGGTTCGCGTCTCTGCATTAACCACTGTCATTCAACGAAGTGTACCTACACAATACAAGTATTTAAGTTTAATAAGATTAAACAAAATAAAACAATGAACATTTTGTCTCCAGATGTGCATCGTTACAACGGAAACTGTAAGCTATTATACATATATACTTATTAAAGTATTAATGTTGTGAAGTACGTCTGTATGTAAGTACTGGGGTCGACGCTAAGTTGATATCTTTAAAATTAAAATTTGCTTTTCATATTACAGACGAATCTTTATTTTAAAACTAAATTTCTTATGGATTTGGTCAAAATTTACAATAAATTTAATTTACTAACGGTCCATAAAATAATAATTTCCCGAAACTGTCAAATAGAATAGAATAAAACATATTTACGTACATATATATATATATATATATATATATATATATATATATATATATATATATATATATATATATATATATATATATATACATCATATTTATTATTAGAAAAATACAGCAATATTATATATAAAATGTAAGGGGGTGGATAACATATAGCAAAATCTATATATTTTACAATATCTATATATCGGTCCAATAACGAATATATTAAAAGACTGTTATCCAAAAAAATATACCGGATAACAGACTTTTAACATATTTGAAAATAGATATCCGACCAATATGGATGATATCGAAATGGGTGATGACCTTTTTTCCGCCATATCAACGTCTAGAGAAACCCGATATGTAGATATCGGATCGGTCCCCATATTACCCATGCCTAATAAGAAGGCATATAGATACAATTTTTTTTTTAATGGATGACAATGGAATCGTAACCCCACTCGCGCTATCGGTATACGTTGGCGGGGCACTGGTGAGGGATGATAGGTGAGATGAATGGGCAGAGCAGTTAGCCAATACACTAGGAATTCAGCGCGATGGTTTCCAAGGGGGACCACATGGAGGTTTTTTTTTATACAACTTAGAATGGCAAACAAGCTGACAGCTCACCTGATGGAAAGTGGTAACCGTCGCCTATAGACATGAGCAGAGTACCATGGACATAACAGAGTATACTGTTTTGCCCATGATACCCCCCATGCGTTGCCATTCCTGAGGACTCAGGTGTTATTCCTCTGTACCCTGTAAATTCACGCCATATCCCACTCTTTAAACCGAAACACAGCCATACAAACACAACTGCTTCACGGTAGAAACACAATTGGGACAGAGGTACCCAAGCAATCGACTTTTGTACAAAGTCTCCGTCTGGTGAATATTCAACCGGAGATTAAAAAACAACACTAAAAAGAGAGAGCATTCAATGAAATTATGAGCTCGGTTCTAATCATCCAGTGATGTTTCTAATCAAGGGACCCCGAAATGTTCTTAAATCACAAAGCTGAGAATTACAGTGTATTCCGTAATGATCCTATTCATGTTTATAAGTGACGGTTACCACTTTTCATCAGGTGGACCGTCAGTTTGTTTTCCCAATCGCCCAGTTTATGAGGGAGGCTTATGTTCAGCGGTGGAGTAATAAAAGCTGATATGACGAAGCTGATGATGATTTATTATGATGATGAACTTCTTTGTGATCATGATGTAAATTTAAGTTTGGCCACATATTTATGTTGTTTTTCTATGTATATATATATATATATATATATATATATATATATATATATATATATATATATATATATATATATAAATATATATAAGGTAACAAATTTCTAAGAAGCGAGTGCTACAACTTGGCGTATATATAATGTAGTTATAATATAGTGTATGTAGGTATGTTATACATTATCTCCGCGACATCTGAATCGATTTTTAATTTATTTTAAATTGTCAACAATCGTACCAATGTTCTGGTTCTCAATTTTAAGAATGCCCTGTTTTATAAGAAATCAGGTAATGAGTATGCGGGCACAATCTAGAACATAGAAACACGGATCAATACTAAAAAGATCGTTCCCTAAAATCGGTCCAACCGGGAATCGAACCCGGGACTTCGTTGAGCAAAGTGACGCGCCCACCACTGCACTACGGAGGTGGTCGTCAAATTTCTTTTGCAATTGATCGATTGCAGTCACTTTTTTTTAAAATCTTCAAATCCTATGATAATTTTGTAATATCTTCGCCATGTTTAAGTTAAGGTAGGGCAAAAGAACTTTTTGATAGAGCAGAAGCCATAAGAAGCCAGAAGCTTTTTCGAAATCAGCAGTGACTTCAAAAAAGCAAATTTCAAGGTAGGGCATTGACCCTCAATGACTCCCCCTCCTCCCCATCTACCGCCATGTCTTCTTCAATTAATCCAAAAGATCCATTATTTACTCCTGTATTCTTTTCATGTTTTATATTTTTTTAAAATCCAAAATTTCCAAAATTTTTCTTAAAAGGGCGATATCAATGCAGGGACGCCGCTATCTGCTACGATCCGGTCAATTTGTATCAATAAAAGTACAGTCATAATTTGTGACCTTTGAACTCTTTTGTAAAGAAACTCCTAGCGACGCGACAGTTGTCGAATGTGTGCCTTCCTGTCTATCTTCATATGCTATATACAGGCTGATGACAAACATTTATGCATTGACTTATTTAAGGTTATTTTCCAGTAAAGAGCTCGACTTCTTATTTTTTTTTTAATGGATGATAATGGTATGGTAACCCCGTCTGCGCTATTGGTATACACCGGCGTTCATATTGTTAATCTTTACAATCTCTATCATTTGTAATGAATATGCTCCGTGATATATGTACGAACTATTTTTTTTGTTGGACACCATCTTTAATTATTAAGAAGTGGGGGGAAAGGGATTGTTAATAATGGGGTCAAGTAGCCCTATTATTAGCAATATACCCTGTCAAGTCGACCTCCACGTGGTTCCCCTTGGAAACCATCATGACTAATTCTAGTTGAAATCGTCAGGATGGACTAACTGACCTGCTTTCATCCTCATCAGTCATCTATCACTGTTGCCCCGCCAGTGTATATCGATAGCGCAGACGGGGTTACCATGCCATTATCATCCATTAAAAAATTGAATTAACTCTTAGTTTTTAATATAATCAATTAATTTCTTGACTTCGTACGGATCCCATTACAGTTAGAAACACCCTGTGAATAAATCGGGGTAGTAGTATTGAATAAAATATCGGTCGCTATTGTAGAGCACTCAGACGCGCAGTAAGTAAGTGATCAATTCATCACTGCTTGATAACAGTATTCGTTGCATTGTGGTTAAATTGATTATTGTATTTTTATAATATATTTTTTTGTACATATCATATTCAAATATTTGTTTATATGTATGTTCAAACGCTATTCTAGAATGTAAGCAATATTTTAATCTTCAGTAAATCTTCATCAAAATGCAAAACACCTAATAAACTAATATTCAATGTAATAATTAATTTTTAATGCTGGAGGCTGAATCAAATAATTATAGCGGATTTGCGAAGACTCGAATCAATCTTATATTCTGTCCGGGAATGCTTCTTATTGTACATCCATAGATTAATGTCTACATCCTAAACCACAATCTTTGCTAAATAATATTTGCAGATACTGCTATCCTTAATCTATGTGGAGATGGAAAAAATATTAACAATTGTACTATTACACTATTACCATACAAATATAATAAATAATCTAATTAAATAATATGTTGTATGCTACAGTTATTATAATATTAAATAAAATCATCATTATTATTTTTTTATATTTAATGCATGTTGATATTATTATAATGGCAACATTACTGTTTCAATTAAATTTGCTCAACTGGCAACTCTTTACAAAATGTCCGACGCTGATCGTCTCAACGACGATGTTACAGCGCCGAGTTGTAAAAAAATAAAATTTGACCATCAGACCGAAAATGGTGTAAGTGATGTTAAAATTCAATTGAAAGACTTTATCCCAGAGAAGATATTGAGAAATAATACAAACACTAAAACAGTTTGTGTCCAGGGGAAATTCATTTCGAAAAGTGGCGTTGCTATTGTCATTTTAGAGAAAAATGTGTTTAAAGAGGAAGACTTGAATGATAAGGGTTATTTTTCACCAGAAACTGTTTTGGAAACTTATTTCCAGAACGACATTTATGGGAATTATGCGTGTTTTCCCAAGTCTTCTATAAACGGTAAGTAAGGCATAGAGTTGGCTTGGCGGTCCCTTTCGAAAATTTCAAGGTAAAAATGGACTGGTAACACTTTAAATTGCACAAATTAGTCATCAATTTAGAACTAATTACGTACACTACAGAAAATATAGTAAACGCGTAGATTCGTGAGTGTCATATTTACCTAATTTTATTTGTTAAATAACACGAGTGTTAATTTGTGTAAATTTGTTAACTTGTTAAACATTTCTGTGTACCTAATTTACGTCAGCACACATATGGTTTGTCTTTTCTTTGTTGTTCATTGCTTGTAATAAAATAAAACAGGAATCTAAAGTAACAATTAAATAAATGAAAAATCATTACTTTTTAGTTTATTGAAATAAGTTTCGTATTGCAAATTATAATTTATAAAATTCTGACAATTGTTTTCAAATTTAATTTTGTGAAACAAAAAACTTGTATAATGACTTTTTAGTGAAAATTGTGATTTGAATAGAGTTTTTAGCTTGATGTCAGCAGTAAAAGACTAAAACTACTCTGCTATAGCCTGTATTTATAGACCTACCTACATCTCATGATTTTAAATAGTCATTTGAAAAAGGAAGGTTAAATATTTTTTAATTTTCTTCAAAGGATAGAATAAAGGAATAGTATTCATACAGCCTAATCTGATGTATAGTTTCCTTGATTGTTATTACAATATGGAATATTTTTTTCTCAGGTGTAAAAGCCACAATAATATATCCTGCATCTGAGAAGCATATCATTAAATACAGTCAACAAGAAGTTCACATTGTTTTAGAGACGCCGGAATTGTATGAGAAGTTGACGTTGCCCTTTATTAAGAAGGAGCAGTTTAATTTGCAGGTACTTTCATTGTTTTTTACATTTTACAAAAATATTACAATTTAAGTAAATAACTTTTTACTCATGACTTTGTCTGCATAACCAAGATGTCTGTTGACCAAGGTCTTAGAATCTTATCTCCTATATCACAAATACAAGTGCATACCAAATTCCAATATGATTGATTGAGCCATAAGGGTACTAAGTGATACCTTATTACTAGTCTATTTGTTCACTAGTACCTAGTGATATTTACCTAAGTACTAGTGAACAAATAGACTCACTTTCATATCTATTCTCATATATATATATATGAAAGATTTTGTTTGTTTGTAATAGATGAATTGAAAAACTATTCATAATATTTTTTTATATGACTTAGAAACCTGATGGAAAATGGTAACCGTCGCCTGTAGACATGAGCAGTACTATGGATACCGCCCATGATACCCCCCCTGCATTGCCATTCCTGAGGACTCGGGTGTTATTCCTCTGTACCCTGTAAATTCATGCCATATCCCTTTAACTGTTCACTGCTGGACATAAATCACCACCTTGGATTTTACTAGTAGTGTCCATGCTTGGCAGGCGGGTTGGCAACTGCAGTCGGGCTTTAGAGATGTTTTAAGAGGGATGCTGCTGCCTATCCTTTGTCCTTCCTTAGTCGGTTCTTATGACACCAATGGGAAAAGAAGGGGTGGCCTATTCTATGCCAGGACCACAGACATACAAATATAAAAAAGAGACATTGTCCTCTGGCAGTTTGATAACCTTAATGACTTGTTAATATTTGTGATACCAACTAATTACATTTTAATTGGTTAAGAATGAAGTCATGTGATGAATCATGTCAAAAAGTAAGTTCATTTACATATCTGTGGTTTATTTGAAGATATTGGGATAGGCTTCTGTTTGGTAACTCTAATTTCTTTAATTTTAACAATTTTACTGCAACAATTGGATTTATCTGTCAAAGAACCTGTGTTTGTATTTTTATCTGTTTATTTAATTGAAACAGAATGGAAAACAAAAATTTACAGTACTTAAAATCAATCATTATTTATTAAAAACAGAGTATAATCTTTTTTTCAATGTCCTCTAGCCAAAGGTTGTCTGGAAGATTGCTTAGCGATAAGGCCACCTTTAATTGGTGGAATAAAGTGTAAATAAATAAATATAAAGTTTTGATTTGTAAGGATAAACATGGCAACTTATACAAAGCCATGCAGTCAAAAAATAAATTCTACTTCTACATTGTCTATTGTTAAAAACAGGACTTTCTCATATTTATTTCATCATGAAGTAAAAACCTGCACCATTAGCATCCAGTGACTTTTTGCGACACTTGAGATAATTCATCTCCATCTATGGTATCATGGTTAATGATCCCATATTTAATTTTTTTCAGTGGGTGTACAATATTTTGGACGGCACGAGTGAGCAAGACAGAATTGTACATGACAATAAGTGTGAGAAGGAGGGATTTGTCCTGCTACCAGATCTGAAGTGGGATGGTCTCACGAAGGAGACGCTGTACTTACTCGCGATAGTAAGACAGAGAGGTATCAAGTCACTGAGGGACCTGAATGAAAGCCATTTGCCTCTGCTTAGAAGAGTTCAGGAGGAAGGCAAGGTAAAAAAAAAGTGTTTTTAAATATAAACTTTTATAATGTAATCCACTATCTCCTGGCTGCGGCCATTTTGAAATCATGTATTTATCACTACCTACTCTTCAAACCCTTTCATTTGATAGCCATATTAACAGAGTTGACATAAAAAATAACTTATTTGTAAGTTATAAAATTACACCAATTGCTTGCCCTTCAAATGACTGTTTTGAGAAACCAGACAATCGACGATAAGAGATACTACTCAGAACCAATTTGGAAGTTCCTTTCCAAAAATGGCTTAATCCAAAATTGAACCCAAAACCTCGTTAATTATGCAAGCTACAACTATTGTGTCAAGTTATCACTTCCTTATTTAAGCAACTTAAAATGGCAAACAAGCAACAATCACTTGATAAAAAGTTGTAACTGTTCCCTATAGATATGAATATTAACATGGATACAACAGACTGATACCCTCATATATTGCTATTCCTGAGGACTCAGATGTTATTCCTCTGTATCCAGTAAATTCACTGCCATATCCCACCCTTCAAACCGAAACACAGCCATGCAAACACAACTGATTCACGGTTGAAACACAGAGAACTTCAGTTGTATTTGATGTTCCTATAAAATTTTATCATATTCAGGTTTAGCACTTTCTAAATCAATTTAACGTTCTGCCATAGTTGAAGTTATTTTTTTCTTGTGAAACACAATCTGAAATTATACTTGCCAATCGTATTACAGTTTTGAATTACTTGCTGTAAACGGTGTTTTCCATCATATGACAATTACTCAGAAATCAACTGTTTTAGTGCTGAGAATATTCGATCATCCGACTTTTAAAGTCTGCAAGACAGTCAATAGTAATCCAAGCAATTACGCTCACTACAATAATTCACTAGAAACAAATTTACATTAATGTGTTATTAATTTACTTTTCAGAAAAAGATATTAGAGAAATACAACATACGGGACAGTCAGTTACGTATCTACCTACATTACCAGCCGTCGTTCTACCATCTGCACATACATTTTACGTACCTGCGACACGAAGCGCCCGGCATCTATGCAGAGAAATCGCATCTACTCAGCACCGTCATCGACAACATTGAAATGATGGGGAATTACTACCAGAAAGCAAGTTTGCCATTCACAATACGTGAAATGGACAATATTTTCGACGTATACGAGACAAATGGTTATGTACAAAGAATTAAACCAAATATTCAAAATACGGAATTAATTGATAAGTAAACGAATTTGGGATTAAGTAAACAAAGTCCCTATAGCAGGATTTTGTTGTTAAAGTTTTTATTTTTAAGTGAAAATGTTGATCAAGAGTATCTTCATGGAAGTACGCTCCAGATTGCGGAGTTGCAACGTGTATATAACTACAGGCATTGATTTCACAAAGAACTGCAATTTGAAGATCAGTATACAGTCCAACTGCATTGTGCTCAACTATTATGACGATAATGACAAAACCAAAAGGAGAGACAGTCTCTCCTCCATTGAAAGTCTCTCTGATTGTTACTCCGAAGATGAATATGATGTCACCTCTATTGTACCAATAGAGGAATTCTGTCAAATCATACCAAACTCCATGTCGTGTTTGAAAATCGACAAGAACACCGTATCATTCCGCATACTTACAGAACCGAGGAACGGTGGAAATTTCTATAATGAACTATTAACGTCAAACACAAATGAAAGTACACCGAAAAGTGACCAAATCAAAATTAACCTAAAAATCCATGATGAAGTAAAAATAACTTGTGCAAACTGCTCAAACGTTATTTCCGATAATATAGTAAAGTTTGACAGGATTTTAGAGCTGCCCTCAACAAATATGGATATGTCGGAGTGGTTCTGCCATGGACATGGTCATAACTCTAACACGGAACCTGTTTTGAAGTCAAACAAATCCGATTTTCTGTATAGACTAACATCATTTGTAATCAACAATAAAGTACTATCAGAGAAAAGTAACAAATTCAATTCTAAAAGGGAAATATATCACTGCAACAGATGCCTAGCTTGGTTGGGGCTCAAAAATAAAGACACGGTGAAACTATTCAATTCTGAAGTGAAAATAAACCAAGGTAACGTTGAAAAACACGTATTTACCCACAAAACGGCATCGGAAGACTTAAAAATTGACGATTTTATATTTACAATAGAGAAATTAACACAAGAATTCAATTTAGGTCTGCAGTACACAATGATGTGTAAGATCATATTAGAATGCACAATATCCACAACCAGTAAACAATATCTGCTTATTTGGGTCATGGATAAAGAGTTACAAGTGTTGAGGAGTTGCGGAGAGCATATTGAAAGTGATAAAATCAAGTTGCAATCGTGCTTGCTTACAAAAATTTTGTATAAAATTGAACTGTCCTTGAATGACGAGGTGGAAGCGTGGTTAGCTGACCCTGGCGTCGTATCTACGGATATATCGAAGAGCATGTTCTACAGAGGCGTAGAGCATCTGCAAAACATGTCTTTGAAAGTGCCAGAACTGTTCCGTAACACAAACGGTTATTGCGTAAGTTACTTGAATGTTTAAAGTGAATAAATTTTGCAGGTCCAATATTAGATTGTTTTATTTTCCTCAATGTTCAGTTAATTTTTTTTCCAATGGCAATTGTTTTTTTTTTTTAAGAGCATTTGTTTGTAAAGATGGATAAATTCAATATTTATTGAAATCATGAATATTTTAAAAAACAAAATCTCATACATTTCTTTGATATCTTTAAATATCTTAATTTACACTAGAAATCAGAAAGAAGGTGAAAGAATAAAGATTTAGAATAAGAATTTAGACCTACTTTAATAGACTATTATATAAAATTATTATATTATTATATAAAATTTAATATATAAAAATATCATCTAATGATGATATTTTTTTTATGCAACTTAGAATAGCAAACAAGCTGACGGCCCACCTCATGGAAAGTAACCGTCACCTATAGACATGAGCGCCATGTGTTGCCAGAATGACCGAATGCTACAAGAATACATTTTTAGTGAGTATATAATAGATAGAAATGAGTGTTCTTGGAAATATAATAAGTATAGTTTTATACTTAGGTAATTTTTAATAAAAATATTTTTATTCCATAACAAATTTATTTATGAAAATATTTTTTTATACATATTTTTAATACTTGGAATGAAACATTATAACAAAATAAAATTATCAATAAATAGATTAATAATTAGGACTGAGTTTTATTGTTATTACATACTTGTAATGACTACTGTGCAGTTTAAAATATTAATTAAAGAATGAAGTACATAAAATATCAATGCACTTCACCAGGTAATAAATAGATCACAGCAAGAATATAATAAGAAATTAACTCATTAAATCTATAGATTTTATATAATTTCAACCAAACTGATTTACTTTGTTTAGTAGTCTAAAATGGTTGTTATGAGGCATTGTAGCAAAATATATTTACTAAAACAATTTCTAACCTAGCGTTTAACATTTGTAAAATAGAAAATGTTTAAAAATAATACTTCCTAGATGTAGACAAATTTAATTTTACAATAAGATTTGATGAAATAAAAAAATTATTGCGAACTGAAAAAAGAGAATATTTTTACAAATATGGTGACCTTATGGTTAAAATGCAACTTCAATGTGGCATGTTCAAACATTGGTTTTGGAGCCTTCAATATAACTTGATATACATTTTTCAGGCAATTGGACAACATATCAGATGTAACATTTATTTGTAACCTTATTTACAATTATTTGGTATTCCATACTCTTGTAACTTGTTCTTCTCCTTATATGGTATGCTGTAATGTTCCTCTTAAATGTGATACTCCATACATGACTATTGAGTAGTTGAAGTACCAGTAAAGGCCGAAGAATAAAGCAAAAACCAATTCTGTTATTATATAATTAAGGATCTTATTGCAGTATAAGAGTTGTATATTAATATGTAGACATGGTAGTTCTCTAGTTAACCCCCCCCCCCCCATATACAGTAATAGACTGTTTCAATAGAAAATAATTAAAATTTAGTTCTTTTTGTTTGAAACTTGACACAATATTGTGAACCAGCGGGCTGATTGTTGGATGAGGAGGTAATTTTTCACTGCATACCCTATCAGGTTGACCTGCATGTGGTTCCCCCTGGAAACTATTATGACAAATTTATTGTTAAATTGATCATGTAAGCTAACTAACCTGCCTTTTCATCCTCACCTATCACCTCTCACTGGTACCTTGCCAGTATACATTAATAGCGCGGGTTTAACAGGTGGGGTTACCATGCTATTTACACTTATTAAAAAAAATTGTAAACCACTCGGTGCAGACATTTATGCTACTCTCAACTATGGGTGTTGCTGGAAGAGAACTCTCTTAGAGTTAAGCTCACCTTTATACATTTACTTACCTCTGTTATATTTTTATGTATTATTAAATTGTACAATAAAGTATAAATAAATAAAATTTAATCAAAAAATAATTGACTCAACAACTGTAGACAGTCTACTGATGTTCTACAGCAGATTTATTGATATGATTAAATTTATTACTAATTTCATTTAGAACAGGAACACTTATTCCTGTGATAAATTTAACAAAATTTTATTACCTTTTCATTAGGTTCTATGAAAACCATAATGATAATGAATGCAATCCTATGTCTAATTAAGGTTAGTAGGTTGCAATAAATTAGTAAAAAATTAGCTTTCATTTATTGCTCTGCTTGCCATAGTGAATTAGAGAACAAGTGCAAATTGATGTAAATGCATGTCGAAATATGGGTTATAATTTGGGTGTTTTATGTATTAAAATACTTTTTTTTATAAAGGATACGTATTACGACCTTTTCCCAAGGCTCCACCATATACAGTTCAGTCACCAGTAAATATCTGAGATACCAATAACTGAAGAATTCTTTAACTTTTTTCACTGCGTTCGACATTGTTGTTTTATATTGTGCGAACAAATGTATGATGTATGATGACACTTCAATTGATGATTTCACAAAAAAAAGCACAAAAACTTAATTTACTGGAGTTAATTTAATGAAAATGTAGAAGTTCTTGAATTTCTAAATGAAAATAAATCGTCCATTAAATATTAAAAAATTCAGAGAGGGTTGTCAGATTCGATTTTTTATTTTTACCTAAACGTCAAATATTTTTCTCCAGACAATATGTCTTCCAACATTTTTAACCGGCCACGAGAATGTATCGTTTCTTTACTATGTCTTACTATATACAAAGTAAACAATGAAAAAAAATTCCTTCCATTTCTTTTTACTTACACACTCCTTTTATCTAATCTTCTGTTTTGCTACCCTCATTCATATATTCTAGTATACCTATATACTCTATATGCTTTATAAATAACAAAATTGTTCAGAAAATCAATCCAATTTCTCCAAGATTTTAATTTTCCTAAAATATGGATAATAGAATATTTTTACCCAAAACTGCGGAAAAAGTATGTATTCTAGCAACACTGAATTCAAATCGACGGCAGGAATGTCAAATGAAATAATCCAATAACAGTGACAGTAACTGAAGCTGTCAGATGCTATCTATCATCCAGCTGATGATAGTCTAGATAGGGAATTAAGAACTTCGTAGATGTTCACTACAGATACGGGAATTGCTTTTTAATTGTGCTTTTAAGAAAAAAAAAAAACTGTAGACTTTGTCTTGTTGATGCTAAGCTGTATAATATCTCAGTGCATCAAGACTATAGAACATATTAGATTAAGAACTTTATAAATATGGGTGCTGTCCTTGGGAGGAAAGGGATAGTTAACAGCGGGGCTGTCCCCCATTACTGACAATAAACCCCATCATTGGCCTCCACGTAGCTCCCCCTGAAAATAATCGTAGTCAGTTATTGTTGAATTCATTATGAGCCAACTGACCTTCATTTTCATCTGTTATCCCTTACTGGCGCCCCGCCAGTGCATAATGATAGCATTGGCGGGATTACCATTTCATTTCCGTCCATTAAAAAAACTTACTGTCCGAATATAAATGAATGATGGCGTCTGATGGTGTAAAGTTGTGAAAGAGGTTGGGAGTGCCACCCAATATGTCGACAGGGTATCTCTTGACCTCACAATACCACTGTTCAGTCAAAAGTATAACCAAGGAATTTAATGCGAACTTTTATTTAGTTGTAGTTATGGCTCCAAAGACCCTCGATGACTGAAGAATTTGGTACAGACCCAAAATTTTTGTAGATAGCTTAACCTCAGATGTTTTACATATAATTTTTTTTTATAATTGGATGAAAATGGAATGGTAACGGGATACGCTGGCGGAGCACCAGTGAAGGGTGATAGATGAGAATGAAAACAGGCCAGTTAGCCTATCATGATGAATTCATCAGGAATTAACCATGATAGTTTCCAGGGAGAACTGCGAGGAGGTCGACCTGGTTGGGTATATTGCTAGCAATGGGATTCTCAGTCTCCATTACTAACAATCCCTTCCCTCCCACCCCCCCCCCCCCCCTTTAGATATATTGCATTTTGTATTTGCAACCAAATTATTCATCATTTGTATTGTGATTTCCAAAGATGTCTACATTCATTTCAAGAAACAAAGTACAAGTATGGTGAATGGTATTATATGGTTGATTTAATTTTCAATAATAATGGATGTTCTATATCCAACAATGAACGATGGATAAGTCGTAATTATGAATATACGGCACATACAGAGACACGAGATAAAATTGATATAATATTTTTTATGCAACTTATAATGACAAACAAACTGACGGCCCACATGAGCAGTACCATGGACATAACAGAGTATACTGTTTCGCACATGATACTCCCCATGCGTTGCCATTCCTGAGGACTCAGGTGTTATTCCTCTATACCCAGTAAATTCACGCCATATCCCACCCTTCAAACCGAAACACAGCCATGCAAACAAAACTGCTTCACGGTTGAAACACGAATGGAACAGAGGTGTCCAAGCAAACGCCTTTTGTACAAAGTCTCCTTCTGGTATTCTGATATAATAATAGTTATTATTCAAAATACTATTTTAAAATATAAAATAGATGATCGAGAAATTTTCAATCGGATTTGGCAGATCCTTTGGGCATAAGGTTTAAAGACAAGAGTTTTTGACGGAATCAGTAAATATTTAATAAAAGAGTCAAGATATTGTCAAGTAATTACTTTTATTTTTATCCCTTGGTTAATAATGTGACCTTAGTTACTAATATAATTGGTATTCAGCCATAAAACTAAGTATATAATATAGTGTTGCAAGCATAATTAATTATAAATTTTTACACTGGTATTATTCTTTCGTAATGAAAATATTACGATTATTTTTTTGTACTTAAAACTTATGTTATGAAATATAGCTTATAATACTAAATTCATTATTAGCTGCCATATAGTAAAAAGCAAATCACAACAATACAGACATATCTGAGCTATTTTTTTTTAAAGGCAATTAAACAATTACAATTCGTGAATATTTCTTTTCATTGAATACAATGAAATTTATTGTAGACTGAAAACGGTATAAAAGTTAATACACAATTTGGGATTTAATAAAAAGATTTTCAAAATTTCATTACCTATTTATCTACTAGTAGAAACAAAATACTAATACACAATTATGGTAACATTTTCATTATAAGCGTGCATAAAATCTAATTTCAGTAAAACACATTCATTTACTTAAAAATCAAAAATAGACAAAAACTCAGTGTAAATAGAAATGTATAATGCATTCTATTTAATATATACCTATAGTAAAAATGTTCATACATCAGTATGTGCATGCGATAGCAATCATTTCGGATTTATCAGTCTTGTACAAGGCACCGATATTTCCAAATGTATAATTTATATAAAAATAGTTGCCATATAAATTGTAAAAATTGGCACAAATATTTCATTTTATTGTAGTAGTTATTACAAACTATAGTGAAAATTATCAATTCACTTATATTATTATTTAGTGTACTTTTATTTCGACCACAGTTTTAATTATAACAAAAAAAAAAAAAATATTAAACTACCACAACATTTGTAATACTTCAGCAATTTTTTGTAAAAATATTTTTATCAGTATAATCGTTTAAAATTTATAGCTCTTTAGTAATTTTCCAATTAGAGATGGCAACTTCAGCGTTATAGTATTGTTTCAGGTCCAAGTAATGTTGTACTGACAGTTACAAACAGTGTTAACTATCGATAGGAAATAGATTTGGCTCAAAATGTTTCTTAATTAAATTTTGAAATCTATATATTACGTTATTATCAAATTTAGAAATAAATATAATTTGTAAGACTCCAATTTAAACATATTTAAATAAGAAAAAGTACACAATTCAATATAAATACGAATAAGGCTGACATTCCGCCATATTGTAATAATTGTCAAAATAAGTAATTTTATTTCTAGACTTAGTTATAAAAATTTATAATTCCCAATCCTAGTAATATAATGTAATAAAAAAACGCATACATATAAATGAATATATATTTTTTTTAACAATTCAAATGACAGTTGACAGGTTGAGGTTATTGGCGTTCCATTACTTATTTTGACATTAATTTATTTAAAAAAGCAGATTATGATTAGGCATTCTTTTATGGAAGCCCATATCATTAAAATTTGTTTTTATGATAGCGGAATTAAACAAATTGTGATGAAATAACCGAAATCCAGATTACTCGCAGACAATGGCCGTATAATGTCTCTTTCATTCTAAGTACTCTGTGTAACCTTGTGCACCAGTGAAGACAACATCGATCCAAATCCTGGCCGCCTCGCCAGATGGCGCCATGAGGTAGTACCGTCTCTGTCGTGTCTTCACGATGAAGGTGGTTTGAGGGTTCGGTGATCTCGATGTATTCCCGTGGTCTAAGTACACCTCTTCTATCACCTATGTCATAAAATATTTAATGAAAAAAAAAATACATACTTTTGTGAGTATGACAAGGTCACAAAATGAATAAACAAAATATTTTTGTGGCAATAAATTAGTAAGAAAGAATGAAAAACATCTCTTTACTGTTCCCTTCAAAGAATGATACAGATTATAAAAAATTATAATATGTACACAAATAAAATTAATAATTCATTACATAAAAGCAAGATAAAGAAAATACAACGGGCAGTTTTGTCCAAATCGATTTACAACTGACCGAGTTATGAGGTAATTAACATAAAAAAATATATTATATATACAACCGAATTGGGACTTCTTTTTGAAGCCGGTCGAAAAGACATTCAGTCCTTCTCGTATAAGGATGGTACCGCTCATGTCTATAGACGACGGTTACCACTTTCCATGTGGTGGGCCGTCAGCTTGTTTGCCATTTATACATGTATATATTAAAAAAAAATCAGATTACGGGTGCACTGACCTGGAAGTAGGCCCCGCCCCTCGGCTTCTTCTCACTCTTGTCCCAGTAGTAGATGAACGTTTTCGTTTCTCTGTCGAAAACGAACCACCTGCCGGCAAACGTCATTCAAAACCATTAGAAATTAACAAAATATCATAATATAAATAAAGAAGAAAGAAAGAAACAAAGATACAGACCAGAGGGAGACTTTGTACAAAAATCGATTGCTTGAGTACCTCTGTCCCATTCGTGTTTCAACCGTGAAGCAACTGTGTTTGCATGGCTGTGTTTCGGTTTGAAGGGTGGGATATGGCGTGAACTTACAGGGTTCAGAGGAATAACACCTGAGTCCTCAGTAATGGCAACGCATGAGGGGTATCATGGGCGAAACAGTATACTCTGTTATGTCCACGGTACTGCTCATGTCTATAGGCGATGGTTACCACTTTCCATCATAACAAATCAAGACCACGGACTCTAGCCCAAACGCGAAGCACCTGTTTCCAGTGACTTGGAAGTAGTTGCCCCCGGAGTTGAGCCGTGGTAAAGGGGACCATCCCGAGGCCAATAAACTCTCGCATGAAGCTTAAGAAGACTAAATTTTTTTACTATATTACCGTTTGGACCAGGTGTGGAAGGTGGCTCCCAACTTGTGCAGGTACCCGCGGCATGACGTCGCGTTGATTGTCACGTAGGGGCACACCTCCAGCTGGTGGCCTGCACATAACAATTAAAACAATTTTATTTAACAATTTTATTAAAACATAATATCATTAAAGACGATCAATTTGGATTTCAAGAGGGCAAATCCACGACACTGGCATGCTACAATTTAGTTAAAGATATCTGTGAAGGTATCAATAACAAAATACCTACAGTAGCAATATTTCTTGATATGTCAAAAGCGTTCGATCTAGTAAAACATGACTTACTAATATTAAAATTAGAAAATTTAGGAATCAGAGGAATATCACTTGAGTGGTTTAAAAGTTATTTGCATAATAGAAGACAATGCATAGAATTGACAAATACAATCAATAATGAAAGAGTAGTAACACGTTCCCAATTTAAAATTAATGAAACCGGGGTACCTCAAGGTAGTATACTGGGCCCGTTACTATTTCTTCTATATATAAATGATCTTCCAGATTCAGTTGACCAAAAATGTATTTTATTTGCAGATGACTGTACATTGCTATGTAAATGTAAAGACTTGGACACTTTCAAAAATGACATTAAGGATATATTAAATAAAATAATAACATGGTTAACAAAAAATAATTTAAAAATTAATTTACTTAAAACAAAAATAATTCATTTCAAAACTTATTCAAGCCCCAGCCTTGACCTAAATATAAATTACAAAAATAATAATATAGAAGTAGTGGATTCCACTACTTTTTTAGGTATCACGTTAGATAAACACTTAAATTGGAAGAAACACGTTGATAATGTTTGTAAAAAAATTAATAAATTTGTATTTGCATTGTATAAATTGCGCCAGATTGCAACCATACAGACTGCTCTTAGTGCATATCATGGATTCGTTTCATCGGCACTTAGTTATGGTTTGATTATTTGGGGGAATTCGCCTGACATAGAAAGAGTCCTCAAAGCGCAAAAAAAATGTATAAGGGCTATTAGCAATGTGGGGTGCCAGGAATCTTGTAGGCCATTATTTAAAAAATTAGGAATCCTTCCCCTGACTTGCATGTATATATTTGCTATATGTACTTTTATTAAGCAACACCCTGAATTATTTAATACATGTGGACAACTCAAAGAAGGCATTAGATCACACAGAAAAAATAAACTTGTGATACCAAAAAGTAATTTGACCTTGTACCAAAAGAATGTTTCATTTATGGCCCAAAAAATATATAATAAACTTCCTTCAGATCTTTTAGACCTTCCCTTGAAAATATTTAAGAAACGGCTTCATCTATGGCTTCTGGATAAGGTCTTTTACAGTATGGGAGAATATTATGCCTACACATCCCAAAAATAGTTAACATAATTATTAATAATATAAATCCTTAAGACTTGACATAAATTTGCTATTGACATAACATATGGAATGTAATTTGTATTTAATTAATAATAATAATGTAATTGTTAATTTTATTTGACGATATTGAATATGTAATTTGACTTGATAATTGTTTGAGCATTGTTTTCTTTTTTTTTATTATTCTATGATCATAATAATGTACTAGTATAAATTAAATTTGTATCCTTATTTAACGAATAAATTAGATTTGCATGCCTACAATTTTAAGGCAATTAGACAGATGCCAAAAAGTTGTGTCACATGGCCCTTATAATGTCAAATGTCTGTTTAAAGCAAATAAATATTTCATTTCATTTCATTTCATTTCATTTCATTTCATTTCATTAAAAAAAATCTTCAGGTCCATATATGTTTTTTTTTTAATGGGTAATAATGGAATGTATTTAATACAAAAATGACTTCGAACAGAGATAAAATAGAAAAAGAAAAAATACGAGCAGTGTTTCCCAACTTTTTCTGTGCCATGCCCCACTTGAACATTTCTAAAATGTTTATGCTTCCATACATAATTTTTCCCGACAAAGTTTACTTGACGACTCTAATCGCCCAGTTGATATTTTGGTAACGTCAAACAAAATTATACCTAATAAATATTACAGCATTTTTTTAGTTTACCTTTTTTGTTAAATTTGGCACCGATATCTACTAGTAGCATTGCATTTAAATGGCCCGGAGTAAAAGGGTTAAAATCGCTTCGAGTCCATTTTTTAATTCCCCCCCCCCCCCCCAACTATCAAATTGCCCCCCTGTGGAGCGTGGGCACCACGTAGCGAAACACCGCATATGAGTATTATTTATTTACACTTTATTGCACCATTTATATAAAAATAGTAAATACATTTAATTGTAATGAGAAATTATACAAAAGGCGGCCTTATCGCTAACCAATCTCTTCCAGACAACCTTTGGATAGAAAACATTGAGAAAAGAAAAAAAGACAATGGGTAGGTGTTACGGGAAGCCCAAATAAACAATTGGGAGAAAGATAGGAAGGTGATGACCACTGTAGAGTTTTCAAATAAATAAATAATTACCGGCCGATTCGACGTGTCTCCGCAGGTCGAAGTCGTCTCTGTCCACGGGTAGGTACCTGGTGAGGGGTCGCTGTAGGTCGCTGTAGGGCGCGATTCCGCGTCGGCTCCGCCGCGGCGCATTGCTGAGTGACACTGCCGGTGGAAACGTGGTTCGATAAGTTTTGTTTGAAAGAAAGATTATGTTTATTTATTTATTTATTTATTTCTTATTGCATTCCATAATATAATTAGTAGATAACATTTCAATTATGGACCGTGTTGGGCACAGCAAGTAGGCGAGAGGAGGACAACACTTCTTTCACTTTAGAAATAGTCTAACGATCTCTTACAATATTATCCAGTCATTGAAATTGTATCACGATAAGTATACGTTTATTTGATAGATACAAAAAAAAAAAAAACAATAAAAAATAAACTTAAATTATAACACAAATTAAGATTCTGGGACTTCGATCGTGGCAAAACCTTATATTTACCAATTTTGATTTAAAAACTTAAGCACTAAAAATTTATTGTTCTAATTTGATCTTCCAAATGTACTTCCATCTCTTTTTTTTTAAAAAAAAAAAAGGATTCATATTTAAACAACAAATTTCTGAGGCAACAAGCATAAAAAATAATAAAAAATTGTATCCCACAAAAAAAAAAACAGACTTCAAATATGATAAAACCAGTTTATATTTATTTAAAAACTAAATTTATTAAAACTGTTTTTTAAACTGCTGAACTAATTTTCATAAAATTTCTATGTAAACAATATCCTTTCAGATAAAAAAAATATATTTTTTCCAATCCAGTTAAGAACTGGCGGGGTTATGAGGTAATAGGCATAAAAAAAAAAATAACCGAATCGAGAATCTTCTTCATTTTGAAGTCCATTGACAAAGAGTTGCCAAATGTTGCTACCTCGTTCAGTAATATTATATTTCTATGCGACGACAATAAAATCAACGTTTCTTCTATCACTGATCAGAGGGAGACTTTATACAAAAGTCGATTACTTGGGTACCTTTGTCCGATTCGTGTTTCAACCGTGAAGCAGTTGTGTTTGCATGCCTGCGTTTCGGTTTGAAGGGTGGGATATGGCGTGAATTTACTGGGTACAAAGGTAAAACACTTGAATCCTCAGGAATGGCAATGAATGGGGGGTATCATGGACGAAACAGTACACTCTGTTACGTTCATGATACTGCTCATGTCTATAGGCGACGGTTGCCACTTTCTATCAGGTGAGCCGTCAGCTTGTTTACCATTCTAAGTTGTATAAAAAAAAATTGAAAAATGAATCCGCGTGGAAACATTTATACGCAATGATTATTTACGATTTGAAATACTGGTTAAAACTGCATGAATTATTTTGTATTCGAAAGGGGTTCGGATAAAGGCGGCACAGCTTTCATCACCACGTGACGGACTTCAAAAGAGATGTCTGACGCAGAAACTTTTTTTTAAATCTTTTGGCTCGTATGAAACTTTGTAAATACCAAGTTATAAATATGACTATTTTTTTTAATAGATGCTAGTGAAGTGTAGGCTCGGGCCACCATATCGTCACATCAGCTGTCATCCACTGCTGAACATAAATCTCTCTTATAAGGAGGGTGTTGCCATTAGTTGCCACGATTGACAGGCATGTTGGCAACAGCAGTTAGACTTTGGTGAGGTCGTAAGAGGAACGTCGCTGCTCATTCCTCGTCCATTAATTTCGCATAGTCGCCTCTTACGACACTCATCAGAAAGGAAGGGGTGGTTTATTGTATGCCAGAAAGCACACGGCTCATGTCACTTCAAATAAAAAACGTTTGTATGAAATCCATGCAACCAGTTCATTGAAAAATTAAAATTTAATATATTGTATTAATATTTTAAAGTTATCTCTTATCGTAAAGATTTTAAATCTGACTAGCGTCAGAATCTTTGTGGTCAGTTAGCATGTGTGGGCGATAATAGAATGGTAACCCAACCTGTGCTATCGATATACGCTGGCGGATTACCAGTGAGAGATGGTAAGTGAAGATGAAACAAGTCAATTCGCCAATAGTTGTGAATTTTTTAGCCCCTCTGGAAACAATCGTGCTGAATTCCAGGTGTATTTATCATGATGGGCTAACTGATCTGCTCTTTCTTTTTTTTTTATTAATTCTTTATTGACCAAATTACAAAAAAATGTCTGGTACAAAAGGCGGACTAAATACTATATAGCATTCTCTCCCAGTCAACCTTTGGCGAAACAGAAATTTTATTATGCGGTGAAAAAAATAGGTTTTAACTTATCATCTCTCCCTGCTGCCCCGCCGGTATATGCCGATAGCGCGGGTGGGGTTATCGATCCATTATCATCCATTAAAAATATCTCCCCCCCTCCCCTCACCACCGCTTGCATAAACAGATATGGCTATTTTTTAAAATATCATCAGGGATATTGCAATCGTAGTGGCCCGTCGTCTGTCAAGTTGACCTCCACGCGGTCCCTCCTGAACCCATCGTAGTTAATTATTGTCGATTTCGTTACGTTTCGATTAACAAGAGTTCATATTCACCTGTCTTCCTTCACTGGTGCCGCGCCAGGGTTCACCGATAAATAGAGCAAGCTCTTGCTAACAAGTTATTAATCGCTGTATTTTTTGTTCAAATTCAATAAGAAATATATTATATATAATACGAGGAAAAGCGAGTGACTTACATATGTTGTCTCGGCTGAAGTCCGACGCATGGCTGAGCGGCCTGCTGTCATCACTGCGCTTGTCTTCCTCCCTGGAGCCAGTCCGAGAGTTGCCCACTTGAAGCTGCCAACAAACAGACGTAATACATTTATTTCTTTATCACAATACCAGAGGGAGTCTTTGTACAATGGTTATCTGCTTGGGTACCATTATCCCACGCGTATTTCTGCCGTGAAATAGCCTGAATTCTGTTTAAAGGGTGGGGTATGGCAGTGAATTTACAGGGTATAGAGGAATAACATCTGAGCCTTTAATGGCAACGCATGGGAGAGTATCATGGGCGAAACAGTATACTCTGTTATGTCCATGCTACTGCTCATGTCTATAGGCGACGGTTACCACTTTCCATCAGGTGGGCCGTCAGCTTGTTTGCCATTCTAAGTTGTATAAAAAAAAGGAAAGATTATTAAAGCACACCTCATATTAGGAAGGCCTATGTTTAGAAGTGGGCAGTCAACAGCTGATGTGATGATGATGGTGATGAAATTATTAGCATTTAAAATGACTATTCAATAGTCATTATTTTATGATTCTACCGCCTAGTTCAAACTGCAATTTCGTTTTTTTTTATACAACTTAGAATTGCCACGCGTTGCCATTCCTGAGGACTCAGGTGTTATTTCTCTGTATCCAGTAAATTCACGCCATATCCCACCCTTCAAACCGAAACGCAGCCATGCAAACACAACTGCTTCACGGTTGAAACACGAATGGGACAGAGGTACCCAAGCAATCGACTTGTGTACAAAGTCTCCCCTGCGTTTAAGAAAACCGGGTAAAAAACTCAATTGTTATTTTTTAAAACAAAAATTGAATTTTCATAAACACTTTGTTAACAAATAAAGTTTAATATATACGTATTAAAATTAATCTGTTAATTTTACACAAAATAAACAAATTATATACGAAAATGATAATGGCTGTCATTTATATATATATAAAAATTTTACACGGACAGTTTACGAGCTGTTACTGCAGCGTGCCAAGATTACAGCGGATCTAAAGTGGTCGTAACATTAATGTATTGTCGATGGGAACGTAACATTAATAAATCACTGTATAGTTCCGGACTTAATTGTCGTAAGGATGGCCAGCAGCTTCTCTTTTAAAGAATAACCAAAGCCTAACTGCGGTTGGCAATCAGCTTGTCAAGCGTGGCAACTACTAGCATGACTCCCTTTACAAGTTCCGAACAGTTATGGAGAGGGCTATGCTTGGATTTTTTTCCGTGATGAAATCCGAAATGGCGATATCGGCACAAAAATCAGTGATATATCCTTCGGATAAGTAAGCTGAAGTGGCAATGGGCTGGTCACTAAACTCGAAGTATCGATAACCGACGAAGATTTGTGTGTGGCGACTTTGTACAGGCAAATGCAGAGTAGGAACACCCTCCAATAGATGGAGCGACGACCTCGAATGCATTGCAGGAAGTCAGTGGATGCAGATAGCTCGGGATCGTTCCTTGTGGTAGTCTATGGGGGAGATGGTGATTACAGTTCCAGTGTACATAAAATCAGTATTTCTTTTTATTTTTAAATATAAATATTAATAATATAATTAATAAATATTTACACGAATATACAGCCGAATTGAAAACCTCCGTATTTTTTTAAGTCGGTTGAATAGATTTTATATGGAAAAGGGCCGAACATATTGCTCGGCGAAATGTAGCCATTTTTTTTTAAATTATTTCGGTCGTTAATGTCCACTGCTGGACATAAGCCTTCCCCATACGGGGACGTTACCAGTAGTTGCCACACTTGGCAGGCGGGTTGGCAACCGCAGTTAGGCTTTTAGAGATGTTTTAAGAGGGACGCTGCTGTCCATCCCTCGCCCTCTCGTAGTCGCATCTTACGACACGCACAGGAAAGGAAGGGGTGGCCAATTCTATGCCTTCTATTATGCATTATGCATTCTAGTATTAAATTCACCACAACGGTCGACAAATATCTCAGACTACCCCGCCAATGATTATAGTCGTGAACATATTCTCTTTTTAACATCATAGCAAATTGTTCAAGCGCATACGCTGGTCTTGAATGAACTCTTTGATGCCATGTCGAATTGATTGTCTAAAAGTAGTTTAGATGTACAAATGAACGCATTGCCCGGAATGTTTATACGTCATATATATATGATATTCACGCCCACAATACCACACCGACAATGATTCTGTTATTTCTGAGCTCTGTGAACATTTGGCAAGGGCGCGGCATATTTTTTATTGTATTGTTGTACATAATAGAAATTATTATTAATGATTATTACAGATTTAACGCTAATACAACATGTGTTACCGTGTGGTCCCGGCATAGAATAGGCTACCCCTTCTTTACCCATGTGTGTTGTAAGAATCGACTAAGACGAGGGCGAGAAATGGGTAACAGCATACCTCCTAAAACATCTCTAAAGTCTAAATGCGGTTGCCAACCCGCCTGCCAAGCGTGGCAACTACTGGCAAAACTGTCCCAAAGGGGGAGACTTATGATCAGCAGTGGACAGTTAAAGCCTGATATGATGATGATGATGAAGCAGATCAGACAATAAGTTGCCTTCAGAAATAAAGGATCTTCCGATAGAGAGATTTAGATCAAACTTATTTCACTTTCTTTTCGAAAAATGCTATTACACAGTTATTGAATAATTAAATGACAAAAAAAAATGTAATAAAAGATGTAATGTATTAAAAATTACTTAAAATATAAACCATAATAATTTTATATGATAATTTGACATAAAGAATAATGTAATTTGGTAAATGTTTGGACTTTATAATTGTAATATAATGTAGACTTAAAACCATATTAACATTTGCATACCTCTGCAAGGTGCTGCATGCTATGTACCTACTTGTATATGTAACTTCTTATTGTACTATGTAGCAAGCGAATAAATATGATTTGATTTGACATAAGTAAAGGAAAGAAAACTTAAGAAGTAATTAAAAAACAATTAAATGACTATTAACAACTTACTAAAACTTTTTTCGGCGTACAGTCGATACCCCAATGCGAACTCTTGAGGAGTGTGAGCCACACAGACATACTTCCCGATAATGTGTTGTTTGTCGCACTAATAAGGTTGCTTGTTACATTCTTTATCACTATCTAATGTATGTAGATAGAAAGAGAGGAATGTAAATGTATAAAAAAAAAAATATAAAATATATTTGTATTATGAGTTTCTTTTATTGTACTGTCATATGATTTTTGGTTATATATTTATTATTAATAATTTATTTTGAATTAAAGTTTGAAAAAGTTATTGCCTTAAAAAATAACGAAATAAAATATTATGAAACAAATATAATAGTTTTTTAACTGTTGAAAATGACACAGTTCCATTTAGTTTTGCAAAATAAAATCTCAATAAGAAATAAATGAGCAAGTAGAAGTGGCAATGGGCTGGTCACATAGCTCGAAGAACCGACAAACGATGGGGAAGAAAGGTTCTTGAGCGGCCACCCGGTAAGGGCAAACGCAATGTAGGACGACGCCGCACTAGATGGAGTGACGACCTCAAATGCATTGCGGGGAGTTAGTGGTTGCAGGTGGCTCAGGACCGTTCCTTATGGCAGTCTATGGGAGAGACCTATGTCCATCAGTGCACGGATAATAGAAGAAATAAATTCATAACCGCAAAAAAAAACTTTCGAAAATAGCTATAAATGGAGACGAATTAGGAATCTCCTCCTTTTGTGAGCCTCTAAAAAAACTGACGTACTCCAGCGGCTAATACGTTAAACATTCTTGATTTCGACACTAACAAATTACCAAATTAAATACCGTTTATTCCACAAGATTTTTGGCCGGTACTGTGTAGTCGTTGCAGCCGTATCGTTCTGGGTGGGATTTAAATAGATATGTGAATAACTGAATCACGCCTAGACACGTCGTCTACCAGCAGAGATGTTCCAGATTGAAGGTAAATAAATATAGGTGGCGATTGATCTGATAAGCATTTTGATTAGCGATCAAAACAAGCCAGAGCACGGTGGTATATAAATTTTGTGAAATTTTTACAGCGAATAACGATAGGAACGAGTTACTATCCAACACTTTCGGGTAAAAATAATGTGTGTATTAACAAGAGCTCTCACTGGACACTGTAAACTAAACAAGCATATGATCCAACTAGGATTTACGACTAGGGGGGAAAGGCATTGTTAGCAATGGAGTTTGACAGCCCTATTGCTAGCAACATGCTCTATTAGGTCGACCTTCACGTGGTTTCCCCTGAAAACCATTGTGAACAATTCTTGTTCAATTCGTCAAGATGGGCTAATTGACCTGCTTCATCCTCAACTATCATCTTTCTCCGGTACCGCGCCGGTGTATACCGATAGCGCGGGTGGGGGCACCATTCCATTATCTTCCAATAAAAAAAAATAAGCTTATGCCCAAAAAGTGTTTGCTGATTTTGTCACAATGAGGAAGCAACGCCGCAGCACTGAATGTGTGGCTGAAGCCCATTCATACATAAACGATATATCTCCTTTGGAAAACACACACTTTATATCCTGAAGAGATAAGAAACACCGCTACAAAGAACATCTTAAAATTCCTATCACTGATAGGATGTAACAGAGGACTTTAAAAAAAAAGCGAGCAAAAAAGATCTAACTGACCAATTGCTACCAATACACTCTATCAGGTCGACCTGCACGCGGTTCCTTCTGGAAACCATCGTGGTTATTTGTAGTGGAATTCATCACGATGGGTTAACTGATCACTTTTCATCCTCACCTATCAACCCTCACTGGTGCCCCGCCAGCGTATACCGATAGCGCAGGCGGGGTTACCATTCCATTATCATCATTAAAAAAAAATCCCTCTACCATTAATAAAATAAATAAGTTGCAGTGACCAGACCAGATCAGTTCCCACAGGCAGCACCCGTTCACGATTATGACGGGTGAGCCAGCCATCATTGCAACCATATTTTAGGGAACTCAATAACTCGGCCTACCACGCCACCAGTCCGGACATCTTAGTGAGCATGACTTAGAAACTGTAATAATTTAATACTACATAACAGTCAACGAAGTCGCGGGTAAAAGT